CACCAAAGATGTCGCAGATTTAAGAAGGCAGTTCCAGCTTTTGCAATACGTGAACTTATCTCAGTTGGTATGTGCCCATCGTTGCTGATACAGTTCCCAAGGTAAGTAAATTGATCAACTACTTCGAGTTCTTCACTATCAGTGGGTTATCAAATGGTTAGTGGTTCTGCAGCAGCACTTTGAGGGTGCGAAGTGCATGCCAACTAATGGGAACAATCTAGAGAGACTAATCAGGGTTGATTGCGTCCACCCAACATCGCTAAACAGCAAGATGATATCGTCCGCATAATCAAGAACAACTAGCCTTACACCCGGCAGCATCTCATGCCTGCATGATGTGATTCCGCAACGAAACGCTCCATGACAGAGCCCACGATGGGAAGGAACAAAAAATGGGGAAACGGGACAACCCTAACGAATACTTGTTGTCGGAAAGACATCCGACAGGTCACCGTAGACCGTGAGCCGGCCTGTCGTCTTCGAGTACAGAACATGCAAATTGTTCTCATATTACATGGGAACACCTGCATGCGCAAGTACTTCGAACAGAATGCATCGATCAACTGAGTCGGACGGACTCTTGAAGTGCAGGGACACAGTTACTGTCGGTCTGGGTGGTGCTGTTATAGCACTTGCCGAAGAGTGAATATACAGTCTATACGGCATAGTCCTGGGCGGAAACCTGCCTGCTCTTCCCAAATCCGGAAGTCCCGGCCCGCAGTGAGGCGATGAAGGAGAATCGAAGCCAGTAATTTCATCACATCTGTGGTTAACACAGTCTGTGCGACTGCCCTTCTTGTATATCGCCACTATAGTCGACTTACTCGTTAGTCCGGACAGTCTTCTCCTTTCAGACATGTTCGAACAGGAAGGTAAGTGCTTTGCAGAGGACCTCACCTCCATCCTTAAATAGTGAAGGTGGGAGGAAATTCGGGCTAGCAGCACGAAAACGACTGAAGCCTATGATCGCGTTCCGGACCACAGCCTCCGATGGAGTCCCTAAACTAACCGTCCATCGCTCATTATGTATCAGCTGAGCAGGGCGAGGTCCGGAAGCAGGGGGCCGACTGAACTGATCTTGAAAGTGTTCCGCCTAACGAGCCATAAGGCGCTCCTTACTGTGAATCAGGGCACCCTCGCTGTCTCTGACAACTGACGTCTGGTTTCCTGGGACCAGTGATGTAGATAAGCATGAAGAGCTTGTGATGGTTCCCTACTGGTCCCGCCTCCATCATTTCTTGAGCCCGACTGGTCCACCAGGCTTCCTTGACAGTGCGCAGGCTCCGCTTTAGTTCGCGCCTAATAGTCCGCCTAGTTACATTGTGCTCAGAGTTAGCCGGGAGTTTTCTTCTGGATTCCAAGAAGTTCACTGGCCTCCAAAATATCCAGTGACTGGTGCGGTGACGATTGATACTGCCGCAAGCGGAGGCTCCTGCATGGCGGCCGAAATCCTATTCCATTGTAGTTCAATGTCATTAGGACAACGGAGCAAAAGTTCCTGGTAAGCCTGTCTGATTTCTCAGTTGCTAATAGAGGGAGACACTTGGTACGCCTCCCGGTAAAGTTCATAGAAAAATGACGGTGTACCAAGGCATGATCAGAGTCGACGGGAATATTCCAGAACGAGTGACAATCCAAGATGCAAACATGCCACTTGTAACTTATGGTAATGTGATCTAATTGGGTCCATCGATGGCCAGCTACAGGAGGACGCTAAGTGATATTTCGGCGTCCACTATGTCTAAAGGCGGTGCTGCTAAGAAATAGCTGGTACTCCGTACACAGTTGCAGAAGACGCTCGCCTTTGTTCGGAGTAATATCCGCACTTGCCACCAAACTGAGCTACGGAAGAGCCCAGACGACTTAAATGCGCGTTCATATCCCCTATAATAACAAGGACATCTGAACTGGTAGCATTGTGGTAGAATGTGGCCTTAGTAGCATCAGAAATGCAGTCTGAGGGAGCATAAGCGGAAACCACAAACAAACAACGTCTTGTACTTGGTGAATCGATCTTAGTTGATGTCGCCAAACGAGCTACACACAAATGGCAGTTCCCCGAAATCCAATCAAATAACGATGACCCAGCCTTGGAGCTGAGTATCATACCTTCCTCAGCTTGACCAAAGGCTGTCGCACTATCTCCGGATGTGTGCAACCAATAGCGAGAGGACAATCTGGGCGCAGTTAGTACAACAACCTCATTAGGGTCATTGATCCGAGTTACGGACACGTAACACACATTAATACCCAATATGTCCAACGTGCGTGTGAGTGCAGCCTGTTGACCTATTTGTCTTAGAGTGCGAACGTTGAACGCCGCCAGGGAAACGGGACAGCGTCGTCTTATAAGGGATTACCTATAGGCGGCCAGTGGGTGGTGCGAGAAGGTAGTTGCAGATGGTCCGACTCCAGTTGCATTATGGCTACCATCAATTAAGCTGGGAAGTATAGAAGGAAGACTAGTAATGGGGAAGAGAAAAAGAAAGAAGGGAGGTGCTAGCAGTATCATGTTTTCGCTTATCCGCCTTGCTGTATGTAGCAGATAAGACGACCCTTGATAACCTGTCTGACGGCCGATGCAGGATCTGGTTGAAATTTAAAGTAATGGTCATGGTTGTACGTGGGCTGACATACTGCTAGGGCGTCCAGACTTAGGCAGGAGAACGATTAGGGTACTCAGCCAAAGCCTTTGGCTCAAAAGTCTGTCCGCAAGGCAGCAGGGATATGGCAATGAATATGTTTTACAGAAATGGACGCCATCCCGTTTCAAACTCCCAACCTAGAGGAATAGGAGACTGAGTTCGTCTGACATCTAACCATTGAGCAACCTCGTATGAGTAGCTCTTAAGGGGCCCGGGGGCACCACCCAATATAGCCCAATGGGTTAGAGGTACGCAAACCGTCGCACCACGTCAGGGTCCAGTCTCGTTGCAACGGGACGTGTCAAGCATTCGCTTTTCTACCCGTCATAAACCAGTGTTCATTGTTTAACCACTTGCGACTGCATGACAGTGGAACACCGATAAGAAGTACGAGTGTACTAATGCGGGCACCTTAGTTAGTGATAGACGTACTAATAGTCCCCAAAAATGGTGTTGAGAAAAGGAGCATACAACTGCGGTGAAAGGGTTCTCCTCACATCGGAGAACGGGTTGACGCCAAAAGCCGTAAATATAGGAAACGAATACATTTAATTTATACAAGTCGCGCGCTGAAAAACACGGCTGAAGACGTAAAAAGCAGCGACGCAGTCTAAGTAATCGACATGTTCACTTCCTGATTATCGGCGAGCGGTGCCGCAGGATGCGTACTGACATCCATGGGGGCTACGTCGTCTTTCGCGGCACCCGAAAGAAACTTTGCGGTTGGAAGTGAATCGCTGCCGAGTTCCACGGTCTTCGGATGGACCTGGTATACTCGTTCTATATTCTCCGTATCAGACATATTTTGATATACGCCTCCAGCGTTGGCTAAAAACATGGCGGCAACTTCTTTAGGCAGTTGATTCAGAGGCATACCGACATACTCTTCGCCAGTGGCAGGGACGGAGGTCTTGTCCAAATCGGAGAAATATGGATGAAGCATGGCGTCCCTGGCTGTGATCCGTCGAGAAGGCTCATACACAAGCATGGCCTGCGAGAAAAAAAACAAGAACTCAGTGCACTTGTGGATATAAAGCATTATCGGTTTGGAACAACACTAATTAAAAACGCGCATATCGACTGCTAAACAAGTGTATGGCAACAAAAGATATTAAGAATTGTCGTTCGAGCACTACGTTTTCTACCCACATTTAGGGACAATAGAAAGTGGTGGTAAGAGTATAAGTGCTGGGTTATAGGGGAAGGAGCGAATATTCAGAATGAGTCCAGGGTGAATCAAAGTAAAGTCCCCAGCAGTATATTGGTGAGCCACATTGACTTTATGCAGCCACCATCAGCTGCGCGCGGGCTGGGGAGACCGTGAAATTAACTGCATTTACACAGGCTCGATGGGTCATAATAAGGCTAATTCTTACTCGGCGGTAGGATAGTGTGTAGAGTCCGAGCCTTTCACAACGTTTTTCAAACGGAAGCTTTCGTATACTCGGTATCATTCTACTTGCGATATGCTGTATTTGCACTAGCTTTTCAATTTCCCATTGGGTTATCTGATGGTAAGCTGGGGCACCGTATTCAAGGATTGGTCTAATGAGTGAGGTGAATAGACGAGGGACGGTTTCTTCAGACCACGTGGAGAAATTGCGTCGTAATGCCCAGAGCATACGAAGTCCCACACAGTACAATTTCTCTGTATTTTCTAGTGATCTCATATCATGTCTCGAGAGAACTCCTAAGTCTCTGACAGATGTGTTAGGGTGGAGCAACTGGTCGTCCAAGGTGTATGAATGAGTGGCTGGATATCTGGTGATACAGATGAACTCCGACTTGCTTGCGTTAAGAGGGAGTTGCATTTCAGTGGACCACGTTGACAGACGCTCTAAGCCATACTGGAGGCGAGCACAGTCGTCCTGGTTCGCAATGATCCTCCAGATTTTCAAATCATCTGCGAACAAGGCACATGGTGACAGGAGCTGCTGCGGAATATCGTTGATATGAATAAAAAATAATACTGGCCCAAATACAGTTCCTTGAGGCACGCCCCTGGTCGATGGAAATAAGTTTGTCAGATAGTCATTGACTTGTACTCTAAACTTTCGTCCCACAATAAAGTCGTGTAACCACTGAAGTAGCGTGCCACGGATTCCGTAGGTCCTCAGTTTATGAAGGAGTACCTCGTGGCTTACTCTGTCAAACGCCTTACTAAAGTCAATGTACACCACGTCAACATCCTTCTGTTCATTGAGAGCTCGTACCCACTGGTAGTTTGGGTACATCAGGTTGGTGATGCAGGATCGCCTTTTCGTGAAGCCGTGTTGTGCTGGCATCAATACGTCCATCAATGCGAATAACGACAGCAGACGCTTTTTCACAATCTTCTCGAGAAGTTTGGATAATATCGAAGTCAAACAGATCGATCTATAGTTCTCTAATTTACTCGGATCACCACCCTTGGGAAGTGAGTGCATTATCGAGCATTTCCAGTCGTTGGGGACAGATCCTTCGGAGAATGGTGAGATGATAATCGATAGGGACTTGAGTATTAATGGGTGAAGTCCGTCTGGTCCGGGGGGCTTTGCACCATCGAGGTTGACGAGTAGCTAATACACTTCGACTGCATCACATTGTAGGCAGTCGAGCAAGACTGGCGCAAACTGTACCGGTACTGGAACAGCCGCCGGTTTACTGGAAACTACGGTGAGGAAGTGCGTAACCAAGGCGTCCGCACGCTTCGCGCTTGAAATGAGCGTTTGTCCGACCAATCAGTCTAAGACCGACAGGTTTCAGCTAACGTTTCAAGTAGGCAAGTATTCTTTTGGGTGTAGTTGTGGCCGAGGGTGCTAGCTCCTCTTCAAACTGCCGGTGTTTCTTGATCTTTGCGACGTTACATAAGTTACGCTGTTTCTTGTACACCGCGTAATCCTCATCAAAATCCGAGCTGATGTATCTATCCCAAAGTTTGCGACACCGTCGCGCTAACTGTCTAGATTCCGTATCAAACTAATGCGGTTTGACAGGTCCGATTTTTTAATACTTCAAGGGAACGGACCGGGTACACAGCGAGTTAAGCTTCTCCTTCATTAATGACCAACAGGCCTCAAGCGACGCATCCTGTGATAGTGTCCAATCAGTCTGACTTGCGGCTTGGACGAGCCTGTTGAAGTCCGTCTTCCAATAGTTGAATGTCGGCTTCCGTTGATTGTAATACGGTAACAACAGTTCTATGCTTGCCACAATAGAGCAGTGGTCACTGTTCGCCAGAGGTTCTTTGACTCTGATCTCGTTTAGCTTTTACTCGCAGCTCGTAACCATTAGGTCCAAAAAAGATGTGGAGTGCGGAGTTACGCGCGTTGGTTGGATGACATCTCTCGCTGCCTCGATTTAAATAGTTATTTTAGCGAATTGAGCCTTCAGGGAAGCTCCCCAATTTCGTTCCACGCATCATGTTTTAGTATAAGAACAGAAATTCACCGCCTGGTCTGACGTTCACGGTAGTGGGACACCTTCAAGTGATATTCTTGTGGCCGTAGATGAAGTTAATCCGTCCGACAAAATCATGTTCATTGAATGCGCACTTCTCATCAATGTTCTGCTGCGTGATACAATTGTACGTGTGCGATTTGACAGAGCATTCAGGTTAATCTACAATGATACGAATGGACCTATAGAAAGATAACTTATTCCTGTGTGCTGAGAAAAATGGTGTCTGCTTCCAAAAATACCTCATGTCGCTAGCTAGATGGGTTCGCAACAGGCAGTCGGTTGGGCTGAGTGTTAGCGAACTGCTTCATTTCAAAGATCGAGACAAAATGGAGTGGAGAAATATCGCATATTTCATACCATAAGCGGCACACATGATATCTTAGTGTTATGACCATCAGAAGAGATAACACATTTGATCAATCACAGGAACAAGGGGCATACGAACCTGGAAGTAACCAGCTAGGTCTAGAAAAACAACTTCCCTTCCGCATTTGAACTTGCTAATTAACTAGTTCATCCAGCTAAACAACAGTGACTAAGGCACTGAAGTGCGGTAAATCCAGTCGCTACGGGTCACGCCTGCAGATACACAATAAATAGCAGCGGCTAGAAAATGAAATAAGCTGAAATTATACCGTTCAAATAAGTAAATAAAGTTTTCGTAAAACACACGGGCTTGGATGAGGGATGCAGTGGCGTCTTGGCGAAGAGATCACTAGAAGCAATATAAGTATCAAGGTAAGTAGACCCATCTAACACTTTCTGAGGTGCTGCGCTAACAGTGAGAACAAGTGGTTGGTCAGACAAGCCCTATAACAACATTATGCACTTTGAAGATGCGAAGCACATGCTGAAGCATGCAGTGTTAAGCACCAGCCTACTCGATAGCCCCAGCATAGACACTGGGTCTGACCCAAGGAGATGCGTGTGCACTTACACAAGGTTGGTCAGCTGGGTACCTGACAGTTCGATCATAAAGTGAAGAGTAAAAATACAGAACTGTAGTGAAGTCAGCTTATTTGGAAAAAAACTCGAGGGAAAACTTTCCGTAGACCTTCACTCGGCCTCGGAAATCGCAGAGATCTTACGGCAGAGGGTAGTTTCAATGGCACGAGTTGAAACAATAGGCAGTACTATAGGTTGACATGATCCACAAATTCGAAAGCTACTTTCGAGGCTTTACTATGCCTGTCGCAAGGACACTAAACCTCAACATGGCGCACCATCATCATCAACAACATCAGCCATTTGAACCGATGCTTCGATGACATTCAACCACGACCTACGAAAAGAATAATAGGAGAAAACAGTCAGGGTTAAGGCGCTTACATCTGATCAACAACATACAGCTACAAACAGCTGACAATCGCGCAAGGATAAGAAGCGACCGCGAGACAGCCTCCTTGCGGCTTTCGCTGCCCCGCGACGGTTTACGTACCTCTTTGACCCATTGAGCTATACTGCTAAGGACACCTTCTACCATAAACCGCACAAGCTACTAGGCGGGATTACTAGTTCAGACATTGTTATTGGTGCCGGGGATATGAATGCGCAAGTAGGTTGTCTGACCTCCTCAGAAGCTGAGCTAGGTGATTAGCACAGGCCCAATTCCGAAGACACGGACAATGGCGTGTTCGTTAAAAGTATGTGCGGAACACCGATGTTTTTTAGCAGCAGTGCTTCTAGGAAAACGGGCACTGAAGTGCAACTTGGTGTCCCCCTAGAGCTGGCCACCAATGGACCCAAATGGATAACATCTCCATAAGTTCAAAGTAGCGTGGTTTCATGTTGGATTGTTGCTCGTTCTGGTATATAAGCGTTGTCTCTGATTATGCTGTAGTACATTGCTGGTTTTCCACGAACTTTGCCGGGAGGGGCAGCAAGTCTCTCCACAGAGGTCAGATGAAATGCACACTGCTGACGATTCCCGAAAGGGCGAAACGGCGGCACAGTGCTTCACTGACGTATAATGGGTGTCTAAGTCCAGATGTGCTGAATCTCTACGTATATCACGCAATTCTCCTTTGTAATCAGTGTAAAGATAAAACTGCTAATAATAGCGACTCAAGTTTGGTATGTTTGTCAGTTGGCGATGGAATAGTCTGTCCTCCGCATGGTAGTAAATTGCAAGTTAGTGGATAGTGAACGGCGATATATCACATCTGGTACGACGACACGACGGTTGTTACAAACCCCGTAGCTCAGTTGTTTAAGCCACAGACTGGCCCCAGTCGAGTTGCGGGTTCGAGCCCCAACAGGGAAGGAGAAAACGGCCGTAGTGTTTTCACGGGCGTATGATAGCTGTCTGACCGAATCTAGATGTAAAGGATGTCTACCTATGCTATGCAAATCCTTTGCTACTCCTTTGTAACTGAGAAGTTGTCCAAGCCCTCGGTCGAGCAAATCTAACAAGATGTTTATGTAACTAACTCTCCCTTCCATTCTGAGGAAATCGGGCGTCAGTGGGATAGGATCCTACCCGCTATGCACGATGCGGAGATTTCCGCTCGTGGCACTACCAGTCGTCAACACACCGTTTACTAGATG